GAAAGACATGAGCTTTTACAAGTATTTTGCACCTATCAATAGATTGCGCCCTTCTAATGTGCAGTGATAGGGAGTTACAGAGCCAAAAATCTACAATTGAAAAAGTGTAGCATTGAAGAAAGTGTATTGGGGACGGAAATTTACGGTGTAAGGTAGTTTACCGCCTCTACACTGTCAAGTAAAATAGTTAATTATGTCTATCTAAATTATAAATGGTTATAAATATCATAATTTTATTGTAGATTATTTTTAAATTGAGACTTATTGGAATTATTTGTACAGTTTATTAAAATTAATTATTATTATTATTAATAGTAAAAAAGATCCGTAGCTCAATCGGGGGCAGTTATTTCGATATTACAGATAGACACTTGAATTTTATTTATATGTATAGAAAATCTCTTACCTCATTCAACAATAAACTTTATTGTGTTACTACACAACAATAACCATCTCGTTATCACCAGAAAAGCTCAAGGCCGAGCTTTTAATTGACATATCAAAATAAATGAGTCACAAAGTGATATCTACTATTTAAATAATCCTTCTATTGTGGGCTAGGAATTCGCGTGTTGTAATTTTCATTTAACGTAATAGAGGACATCGTAATTTGTATTTACAATTCCTAATGTATATGTCGATGTCAATTTCTTTGTTAGAATTGCGTTGGTGTCATCTATATGATGACACCAACGCAATTCTGATGTATTGTTTAAAAGTGTCGCCTTGAAACGTCCCACTCCAGGATAGCCCTCCTCTCATAACAGAATAATGGAATCAGTCTAACAGACTGTATAGTGGTGGTTAGTAGACTTTCATGTCTTTAAAATAAAATAATATTTTAAGCATGTCGCTTGATAACTTTATTTTCTAGAATAACGGTGACAAAAATTTAACAAACATATAACACAACTTATATTTTACAAACATGTAATATATTTTTTATGTACTTGTTCTTTTACGTGGTAAGAACATTACTATCTAATTGAAAATCAAATATAAAGCAGAAAAACAAATGTTGTCTTTTATTTTCAAACTCCGGTTCATAATTAAAACTACTATACTATCTTTATTTTTATAGAATTAGGGTGAAAAACGAGCACACATTCCACATGATGGTAAGTCGATGCTGTGGTCCATAGACATCTACATCTATCCTCAATTAAGAAACATAATGCAGATGCGTTGTCACCCTTATGGACTAAGATGGAATGCCTCGTTTTCAGTAAAAAGAGTCCGGTTCTATACATTCATCAATCGAAATAAAGCAGCATTAATCTGCTATTTTACGCTAGTATTCTGTTAGAGCTCTGTCCTTCCCCTGTTATCCAACCCATTCGTGCTGTAACTAAAATATCGCTGCAGCATGACTCTACCATGAATAAATTTGCGACCCGAAAAAGTAAGAAAATGCAAAAACAGTGTTTGATATCACATCGCAGTACAGAAAATTATATTTCAATATACATAATATATATAATTTATACATTTGAATACATACATGATTCATACATCTTATACTACTAAAAAGACTTACACTGAAACATGGTTATTTAATTACAGTATTTTAATACCCAATATGAAAGTGTAGTAAGAATGTAATAGATAATTATTTTTAAATACTATTTATTAAGTTTCACTCTTTGCTTCACATCTTACTATGGGTTTTAAATTTATAATGTACAATGTCAAATAAGTAAGAAACTTGTGGATTTCGAATTATTTCTGAGATTTAAATATCTTATGATAAAATCAGTAGTGCTTGCTCATCAACCCAATATTGAACTTAAAGCTGACCCTATATCTAGACAGCTCTAACGCAATCCACGATTTATGCCTGACGTAAACGTAATTCTACTAACAAAGTTGTTTTATGTCGCGAATAAGTTCGACCGAGCACGGAAGTAAAAGTGTGCAGTTTTCTCTTAATTAGGGGTTTAATGTAGCCAAATGCCAACTGTACTCAGTAAAACAAACCGAAATACAGTAGTGGTTTTTATGATTGGCAATTTATCGAGAAGTAGGTATAAATATGATACATGTTCCTTCTTCCTAAGATGAGAAAAATTACTTCGTCCGGCTGCGTATGAGCAATTATGAATGATTCTTTCAAAAAGTATGGGTAGTATACATCTACCTAATAGTAATTAAATGCTGTGGCCCACAGACCCTACATATCTATCAATTTTTAAAAATTATATTGCAAATCTCCTGGTACTGAGATAGAATACCTCATCAGAATTCCTCATCATTACCACAACCGTACAGTGTGGAGGAACGTCACGAAGTACGATGTATGATTCTGATGCCTCGATGATGATGCTTCTAGTCCTGGTTCCTGATTACCAGCAAAAGGAGTCTCCTTTTGACTACACAAACTAACAGAAACAATGCTATATTGAGCTGATATTCTGGAAAATAGGTTATCGAGTAGCAGTTTCGTACTGGTAAACAAAAGTGTAAAGCAACTACTACACGGAATAACTACCTGGTAATAGATACAAGTGGCTGATGGCCGCAATTTTTGGCATTCAGCTGTAACTATGATGACGATAATGATGGTGATTCTACAAGAGCGTTATTTTTTCGCCGGTGGAATCTACACATTCATGCTCTAGCCAAATAAACATGGCTCTACCATGGATGTACATAAACTTTATTATCATCATCAATCCACAAACTGTCCACAGATAAACGGAAGAATCCTTCAATGATAGGGACGTTGTTATAGCTACGTTTTAATAGTAATGCTGTGCAGTGGTGGCGTGAGAGAATCTACTGCCACATACTCACAGGAAGAGGGTGTCGTAAAACTTGACAGACAACCTGCCAAGTAACAAGCATGGCAACTACGGTAAATATGTGGGAGTATTCAGCTGGGCATTTTGATAAGCCATAATAATGAATGATGATAGTCATTTCGAACCTCCCACAGAAATGAAAAATTTTAAAACAAGTTTGACAAAATCATTTTTTTTTTCGATATAGTTATATCGAAAAAAAATGATTTTGTCGCATGCGTGTAGACTGCCTTAAGCTAAATACCCTAAGCATTGCCTAACTGTTTGAACATTTATTGTGCCCCATATAGTTTCAGTTATGCAATATCACGGATGTCTCGTACAGGGATGCGTTCACAAAAAGGTCAGCTCGTTTCAATAGCGTTTGTCCTACATAAGGGCTCGAACAATGTGCGCAAAAGTCAAGGTTTTACTAATCCTATTTGTGCTGAGATTTAAAAATTTGTTAATAACCTTAAACATTGATCTCTCAATAATTCACAAATATTACAAATAATCATTATTTTGAAATAGCTTTTATGTTTACTTTTTAATCACGAATTTCATTTGATCTTTATTCACTTCTCTTTAATATAATGAATCTCATGCTTGTTTCTTTATCTCTCTCTCTCTCTCTCTCTCTCTCTCTTTCCATACTGTAAAAATTCCACTGCTTCCTATTATAGAAAATTTTTACCTTAATTGCTTGGTAGGAGAAGAATCGCAGTACCATATTAATATTTCTTTCAGCCTATCAGCCAGTCTGTAGTATAGTGGCGATTTATCGCCACTGCATTACAGACTGGCGAATAGGCTGATTAAGAAAATCCACTATCCAAATTGTCACGTGAGTTAAAAAAACTGCGGTTGCATAAAAATATGGGGGGTATTTCCATAAGGTTTGTTTAGCAGTGGACTTTTGATGGGCTGTGACGGTGGTATTGTTGGCTAAAATAACTTTTGGACCATTCTCTAAGAAGACTCTTATTACATCCGAGGAAAGACTACAGTGCAATGTTTTTTCATTTAGTTATTTCAAAATAGTATATACTTTGTGAATAAGGAGCACACGGTAACTTGATAATAATGTAGGTAATGGGTTTTTAATTAAACGCAGTACTAATTTTATTTCAATCATTATGCATCATCATATATGAGAGCCACGCTGTAGCTGTATTATGGTTGTAGAATGATTGGGTCGGCCTGTTCGGTGTAGGTTCATGCTCTTACAGAATAACAGCATAAAATAGCAGCTTAATGCTGCTGTGTTTCGTATGGTGAGTTTAGAAAACCGGAGACCCTTTTTACTTGAAACGAGGTATTCCATTTTAGGGTGATAACGAGTTTTGATTCATAGTCGAGGATGAAATATAGATGTCTATGAGCCTCTTACCATCAAGTGTACTGTATGCTCCTTTGTCATCCTTATTCTATAAAAAAATCACCATCATCATGACTCTGTGTCAGTCCACTGCTGCAAACAAGTTCTCTAAAATGAACCACTTAGCCTAATAATTGTAATTATTATTAAATAGTTGAAATTCTAATTAGGAAAAGTTATGTCATTGTACTGTTTGCTTTGAAAGCCGATGAATGCAGGTGGCTTAAGACCGTGCTTTGTGGTATTCCTTGGGGAGGCCTATGTTCAACAGTGGACTTGTGAAGGGCTGTAATGATATGATGATGATGATGACTGTTTGCTTAGTTTTCATATTGCGCAAGCTACAGAGGATCCCTATTGACTACGATTAAATTGTCGTCTAAAGGTCTTTATTTATGCCGTGCCGTTATTTTAATTTCTTAAAAAAACCTGCATGGCTAAGAATTTAAAAATATTACAAGGATCTATGATGTTTGCCAACACACGCATTGGTGGAACGTTGCGTACAATTTCCCGTTACAATAAATAAAACGGGAAATAAGGAATAAATTTGTATGCGACCTTCTCTTCTATAGCTAATTTCTTTTCGTTCTATATTTTAAAGAAAATTATGAGATGCGCACTGGATTTTAAAATAAAAGACAACATTATTTTTGCTGATTTATTTTTCGTTTACAATCACACAGTGATATTTTTACCACATAAAAGTAAAAGTAAGGACATAAACAATTATATGTTTGTAAAATTATAAGTTATAGATTGTTTATATTAAGTTTTTTTTTTAATTTTCTAATGCTGACATGATTCTTATCCTAAAATTGTACTACCATCCTTTGGTCTTAATATTTGTATCCTTCCTCAGGGCTAAAGCTTGGTGGCTGGCGAGGACCTCCAAACGTTTGACCAGAATTCGCTTGGTTAGACATTGATGTAGGTGCAAAACCAGGACGTTGAGGTTGGTTGCCAGGTTGGTTAGGTTGGGAACCTGGCTGATTATACTGGTATCCTTGACCATTGGTTGAGCCAAAGGAGGACTGATTTCCAATAGGCCTATATGAAGAGTTACTCTGACCTGATCCAGGTAAAGAAGGTGTATTACTTCCAAGTTGGGTTGGTGATGGAAACCCTTTATTTGTGGCACCAGAACTTGCTGCATTGCTACCGGGTCTGTACTGAGAACCTATGTTACTATTTTTAGATCCAAACGGTGGCAGATTAGAGTTAGTTTGTAAACCAGATTCTTGACCTGAAGAGCCTGATGTTGACCCTGTTGAATATTGATTGCCATTTGGTTTATTCTGAGTGGACCCAAGACCACTAGAGTCAGATCCAAAAGATGGCAGATTAGAACCGCCATTAAATGGTGATGATCCTTGTCCAGGTTGATTGGAACCCGACGGGAACGAAGAACCTTGAGGACGATTATATTCGTATCCTGACTCCCTTTGACTTTGAGATGAACTTTGAAGTCCTTGGCCTTGAGCACCTGATGATAATTTATTTGCCCCTTGACCAAAACCTTGTTGACCTTGACTCAATCGACCTTCTGCTTGAGTACCACTTATTTGTCCAAAGGCACCCTGTCCTTGTGCTCCAATACTATGTCCTATGGCACCTTCACTGTGTAATCCAGCAGTATGTCCAAAGGCTCCCGGCCCTTTCAATCCCCCTGTTTGCCCAAAAACACCTTGCCCTTGCGATCTTGAAGTCTGTCCAAAGGAATCCTGGTCTTGTGATCCAGAATTTTGTCCAAAGATACCCTGCCCTTGTGATCCAGAAGCCTGCCCAAAGGCACCTTGTCCTCTCGATCCATCAGTCTTTCCATATCCACTTTGTCCTTGCGATGCAGAAGCTTGCCCAAAACCACTCTGACCTCTCGAGCCATCTCTCTGTTCATAAGCACCCTGTCTTTGTGCTCCATGGCTCTGTTCATAACCACCTTGACCACGCGATCCAGCTCTCTGTCCATAAGCACCCTGTCCTTGTAATCCATTGCTCTGTCCATAACCACCCTGACCTTGTGATCCAGCTGTCTGTTGATTAGCACCCTGTCTTTGTAATCCACTGCTCTGTCCATATCCACCCTGACCTTGTGATCCAGCTGTCTGTTGATTAGCACCCTGTGTTTGTGATCCACTGCTCTGTCCATACCCACCCTGACCTTGTGATCCAGCTGTCTGTCCATAAGAACTCTGTCCCTGTGATCCACTGCTCTGTCCATACCCACCCCGACCTTGCGATCCAGCTGTCTGACCATAAGCCCTCTGTCCTTGTGATCCACTGCTCTGTCCGTACCCACCCTGACCTTGCGATCCAGCTGTCTGTCCGTAAGCACCTTGTCCTTGCGATCCACTGCTCTGTCCGTACCCACCCTGACCTTGTGATCCAACTGTCTGTTGATTAGCTTTCTGTCCTTGTGACTCACTGCTCTGTCCGTACCCACCCTGACCTTGTGATCCAGCTGTCTGTTGATTAGCTTTCTGTCCTTGTGATCCACTGCTCTGTCTATACCCACCCTGACCCTGCGATACAGCAGTTTGTCCATAAGCACCTTGTCCTTGAGATCCACTGCTCTGTCCATAACCACTCTCACCACGCGATCCAGTTGTTTGTCCAAAGGCACCTTGACCTTGCTGTTGGTATCCGTTTCCTTTTCCATACCCCTGTTGACCATCACCCGAATTTGTAGCTTTATCACTTATTTGGTTAGACACTCCAGTTTCATACTCCTCTGGTCGGTAAGCACCTTAAAAAATAACTTTCTTATAATCGTCCAAAGTTCTCCATTTTTTATTATTAAATTAATTTAAGTAGTATTATTTGTAAGCTACGTCTCATGAAACCTGGGCACATAGAAATTTTTTCCATAACTGATGGCCTATTTCTTATGAAATATTTGGTCATGAGCCATGATAGCTAAAAGCTCATCGTAGATATCGCAGTCGTGGGCAACCCGAGTTTGATCTCTGCCGTCAGGAAACTAAATAATTACACGAGTAAAATATTTCGGCAACATGTGAAGTTTGTTAACATGTCCTCCTCAGGTATAAGAGAAGTCCTGTGTTTAGCAGTGGAAAGTATGTGAGTTCTAATTTCACTTCACTTTTACTTTAGGTTTTTATATTTAGACAATAATAAAAAATAACGACCACGAATAGTCGCTAGTTACACGGATGGTCGCTCTCAGTTCGATTACAAGAACGAAAGCCTTACAAAAAAAACTGGTTCATCTAATTCCATAATAAAATCTCCGAATACTGTTAAAATGTAGCAAGAATAGAAAAATAGTGGCACTTATTAACTTACTCGTACCTACCCGTACCTGATAAGGGACAATTGCAACTTATCGAGACTCAGAAGCAAACAATTTTTTCCTAATACTGACTTCGTTTGGAAGGGCAATGTAATATATCCTGCACATTTTAATAAGTAACTAGCGAACTTGGCCTGGCTTTGCCTGGATAACATTCATTAATGTGGTTATCCAAGTTCATTTATTTCGAAATCTAAAAAAAAACCTCCAACTTTTTCAGATAAAATATAGCCTGGATATTTCTATATCTTTTTGTTCGTAAGTTTCATTACAATCGATTTGACACCATTCGAAAAAAGCGTACTATAAATTACTTCCCCTAAGTAATTAACTTGTAATAGTTAGATGATAAATGCAGTCGACTAAAACTATTATATCACAGATGAGTGGCCTTAACTGAAACTAAGATAAAAAAACTCTCACGCTGTAATCATACTGGTTTACAAGCCATTCTAACTAGAACGCATAAGTAACCACACTCTGAGTTGCCGGCAGATATACCTAAAAGTATAGTATCAACCATGACGGACAGGACAGAAAAGGGAGCCCTACTGGCCTACTGAGTCCACTGATATTATCAAATAAAGTTAAAAAGAAATATATTCTACATAAGTACTGCTGAGCACAGGCTTCCTCACATTGTTTAAGAGGGTTTTAGGGCAAAGAAATGTTCGCCGCGCTGCCCAAATGCGTGTTGGCATAGTTCACATGCCTTCGAAATATTTTTTTCTTATTTTTCAGACATGCAGGTTTTCTCACGATGTTTTCTTCACCGCCGAGCACTAGCATATCAGCACTTAAAATTGCAATTAACAATTTCAATGGTGCCGGCGGGGATCGAACTCGGGTTGCACGCGTACTTTGAAATTTACAGTGAACGCTAACCGTCTGAACTACCACGGCTCTTTAAATATCAAATAAATATCAATATCGAATAAAACATTTTAATTAATAAAAATTAACTAAAAATTCGGATTTACAACGTGGTAGATCCACGCTGCAATATTGTGGTTGTAGCACAAATTTATCAGGTTGGTCGGGTAGGACCACGCTCTCGAGAGCGTAAAATAGCAGCTATATTCTCTTGTGTTTTGAATGGTGAGTGTAGAGAACCAGAGACTCTTTTTACCGGAAACGAGATATTTCATATATGCCCTCATTTGTCACCCTCGTTTAATAAAAACATGCTTAATAGTAAAAAAAACTAACTAAATAAAAATTTAATTTTTTACCTTCTTGTACGCCAGCTGCTGCAGCTCTCGCGTTTTCTTCGATAGACTTAAGTATCTCCGCAGGAATTGGGTGTGGAGTAGGCAAATGATCACCCCGAGGTTGAAAGCCATTTTCGTCAGCAGTATACGTCACTGTTATCTTTTCACCATCATCGGATGTATAAGAGAATCCTCCTTGAGCTCTCACTCCATTGGTAGCAATGCCTGATTCCTCGGCAGATATACCGTTAGAGGTTTCAAAGCTGTAAGAGTATGTTTCACCGTCGTTTTGGTTTTCGTATCTCAGAATTTGTGCATTCCTTTCTGAATCACTTTGAGCCCGCTGAAGCTGGTATGTCTGGCTAACGAATGAGTTTGCTTGTCCGCCTTGATTTAATGAAGAAGATTGGGTGAGTGAACCATCTGCACCTTGGCCATATCCTGGAGTTAGAACCAGAATTGAAACCGGTTCCAGTTGATGATGACACCTGACCAAACCCAGATGTACCTGTATTCTGACCAAACGCAGAAGTTTTAGTTCCAGCAGGCCCGCTAGGTAGACTGAATCCGCCAGATTTTGTTTGATCGACGTTTGATCCGAGCCCAGTTTCAGTCGGTTGAGACGTTAATTGGGAGGATTGTCCAAAAGAAGCCTCAGTTTGCTTAATACCAGGCAAATTTGAAGATGCTCCAAACCCTGGTGATTTTGGGCCTGATGGTCCATTTCCAAACGGAGCAATTAAAGCTCCGGGGCTTCCGCCGGAACTTGCCGCATTAGCAGGAGGCAAGTAAGTTCTATCTAATTTCTCCGCATAGCCACATGCTATTACTGAAATAACTAAAAGCTGAAAAATAAGAAAAAAATGTTAAAATAAGGACTTCAGTAAAAATTTAAAGTTTTATTTACTAAATACTTTAATTTTTAATTATTTTTATTTGCTTAGTGATTTTGTTATACTGCCTTATTAAAATTATTAATAACAAATGATCTATTGGATATTATTAATTTAAGGACTCCACGATATTATAGGTCAAAATATATATTGTTTTTAATTGAACTAAATAAAACATTTTAAGAGAATACGTAATTTCAATTTACACATTTTGAATAAACAAAACCACTGATTACCAGCTTCATTTCAAGCTGTACACGTTACAAAGGACTAACTGTGAATGTGCTGCAAAACTGAAACTCATCCTATATTTATATCACAGAAAATTCGTTCACCTCACTTAGTTACCTAAAACCGTACTCACGGTCCTAACCTTTGACTGCTCGTACAGTGAAGATTCTTAGGTCCGTTTATGTGTGCATTTGTATTGCTAAATTTCCCGATCGATATCGCTGTTACACTAATTACTGTGTTCATGATACGCATATTTCAGTGTGAGTGAATGTTATGTGAATAATTTATTCACACGTTGTTGTTGATTAACTTTATGATGTTATTTTAATATCAGCTATTAATATAATCATTTTATTGTCGGTAATAGCAATCGTTGCAGACAATTCGATAATTAAGGCTATAATAATATCTCTGTTTACATTTTTAAACTAACTTAATGATGAATTTATTAATAAAAACCATCATTTAGGTCATAATAATCTTTTTTGGGATTCTTATTTGTTTTTTAAGTCTTATTTGATGTTGTAGAAATATATTGTTAAAAATGCTTATTGACGAGAAATTATAGCTAAATGAAAATAAACTGGACTGGACAAATCACAAATAAAAACCACCTATTTTTATTTATGACTAACAATAGAAATATTATGATACTGTTAACCATATTATATAGTTTTAACTGTTACTTATAACCACAAAAGAAAGGAGTTGCTTATTTGTTTTTGCGTTAACAATAGGCTAATACTACACATGAGCTTGGAAATTAAAGAAGATTAGGTAATAACAGTGGTCTTACTTGTGAGGAGACACTGCCATTTCTATTCAAAATCCAGGAAAATCTTGTTTGTTATTCTTTATCCGTCTGTTGTCTAACATATTATTACTTAGATTTCTTCGGACTTATAGTATTTTATTATAATTAAAATCGTATTTAATATACTACTATTACCTCACAAAATACGATTGTGAAAAGGTAGGTTAATGCTGCTTTGTATCGTATGGGACTATTTTTGTTTGGGGCGTGATTTACTTCAAACTCTTTTGAGATTATCTTTATAAAGCGCGGCACTCCTCAGTTGCGCGGTGAGATTAAATATTTTTTCTTCTAAAAACTTTTCGTGTGGCGTGTGCTTAGAAGGCAAAGCCCGCCGGGGGAAGACACCTCACAGAATACCAGCGATATTAGCTTTGCTGCTGTAGTGATGTGTAGGAACCGGAGAACCTTTTACTGGAAACGAGGCATTCCATTTATTAATCCTAAGGGGTGACAACGCATTTTTCATTTTGATTCTTAATCGAGGATGGATGTGGATGTCGGCCACGCCACTTGCCATCATGTGGTCTGTGTGCTCGTTTGTCACCCTTATTCTATAAAAATATTTAGGGGGTTTGGCTCTTTTTTACCTAGAAAAGGTACCACAATGTAAAATAATCGTAAAAAAAAAAAATAAAAGACGGAGGTTTACAATTCAATGATATGAATTTTACATACGGTATGTATTTTACAGATACAAAAAATTACCAATTTGAACCAATGTTAATGTTTCTTCATTCTTTAAATAAATTATACGTTAGAGACGGTCTCATATAAATTTAGAAAAAAAAAATGCGGATGAAGTTATTAAGAAGACATTGTGATTTCGATGTTCCTTAGTCTATTCAAAAAAGTAAAAAAAAAATCGCCGTCGCCAAAAACTTAAAACAAATAAAAAACTTCACATTCTCAATTCGAAGCTTTAATTATTCTGTCCCTTAGTACTGTTGGTCCTTACATAGTCGATAGTTAGAAATTATTTTTTTACAAACATGCTGATTTGGTAAATAATCTAAACCAGCATAATTTCCCTCACCCTCGTCGTAAATCAGCATTTAAAATTGCATTTAACACATTTAACCGAACTGACAGTCCACCTGACAAGCAAATGGATATTGCAGCTTATTAGCCAACCTCAAATTAAAAAGACTAAAAATAGCAACCTAACCTAACCCAAACAAAAAATGGTAAAAAATGCGTTTTTATTATACTGGAATTCTATACCTACTCTTCTTGTCGTAACACAACAATGCAAGCTCTGCTAATTGACGGTAGTAATTGGTAAGAGTGTTGTTTCTACCAAGACGGTATCTTAGACACAAGAAAAGGCCTACTGCCTATAAGTAGTAGTAATAAATGACTCCGGACGCAGTGAATAAGTATTGAGTTAGAATTTGTGGAGCTAAGGGTCCACGGGTTGGAATCCCGCTCAAAAAAAACTATGTGTCTCACAAATTATTGTTTGGGGTCTAGATGTTTGTTCTTGTTCAATTAATATATGTAAACTGCCTCCGATATCACGATTTAATTCAAGATATGGTAGCATAAAAATGTCGTCATACTTCGTCATCTTGTCGTAAGATGAGATATCAGAAGATACCCGTAACATAGTAGCTTTCGATACGTAGCACTTTAGTAATCTGGTATATATGCCGGACGTAAAACTAGGTCAACGACGGAAGCAAAGATAAATATCAATTTGCCAGGCATCAGGTACCGCGATTGAAATCCCAACTATGGAGATTGTAGAATTCCAACGGCGACATATGTTCTATGATATCAATATAAAGAAAAGAAACTTTCATTCAAATTTAATTAATTTACATAAAAACTTAACCAAATCAGATTATTACGAAACTTCAATTACACTCAAGTATTGCAGTTATCATATTGGTTTACGATATTTTTTAAGTGAGCGTGACACTGACTAGATCTTGGTCAAAATCAATAAGTTGATAGCTCGTGGCATTTCAGGTCATCCGGTCCACGAATTCGTGAGTACGTCAGCGAGCATAAATATCGCAATTCTAACGTCATCCGCTAACCGCGACCCTTTACACACATTTCTATCCATATCAATTTACACAGCGAAATCAAACCCTTTATATCAAATAATATAAATAATCAAAGTAAACAGTTATAGCAGTTATTATGGTTATTTTAGTCATTAATTATAATTAATTATCTTTTCATTTGTTTAATGTTAAATCATTATGTTCATAATAAAACATTTCATTCATTAATTTATTACAACCATTGAAATTCCACTGCTGGACATAGGTTACCGTATAAAATGAATATGTACCCCCATAGTTTGCATTATACAGGTATATTGATTCTAAGCCGCGTCGGCTTATTCGTATTCTAGCCACAACAAATAAATGTGATATTTTTTTTAAATTTCACTGCTAAACGTAGATTACAGTTTAAAATAGTATTTTTTTTACGTGGTAAAGCCATGCTGCAGTTATAATATACTCGTAGTTGTAGCATGAATGGGTCGGCTCGACCGGGGAAGGGCCACGCTCTCACAGAATACCAACGTAAAATAGTAGTAGTCGCTGCTGTATTTCGTATGGTGGGTGTAGAAAACCGCATACCCGTCTTACTATAAAGGAGGCATTCCATCTTATTCCGCACGGGTAATAACGCACCCGAATTTTTATTCGTAATCGAGGATAGATGTAGATGTCTATGAGCTACAGTACCCACTTACCATCAGATGGACTGTGTGCTCGTTTGTCACGCTTATCCTATAAAAGAACCCATATGAAACTCCATAGTTTGCATTCATAGCCACAATATACTACTGGAGTATGCATGCATGCATGCGGAAGTAGGGTAATCAAAGAAGATTTAAAAGTTATAAACTGAATCATTTGTTGGCTTATTTTTATTTATACATAGTCATTAACTCCTGTATTCTTGAATAAACCTATTAAAATTCTTGAATAAATAAGCTCTTAAAAGTGTTATTCCTATCACTAATTGGCTCACTCATCAAGAACTGAAGTTACTTCTAGGTTATTTAGAAAATTTAAATTGGCATTAGACTTATATTGTTTATATAATGGAAAACATACGAAATCTACAAACTGTCAATATTCGGTGTCAACAGGTGTTAACAATTTGTGTGTAATTACTACTTTGTAAAGCCACGCTGCAGCTATATTATGGTCGTAGCACGAATGGGTTGGCTCGACCGGGGAAGGACCACGCCCTTATAAAATACCAGCGTAAAATAGAAGCTTAGTACTGCTGTGTTTTGTATGGTGAGTATAGAGACCCTGAGACCCTTTTTACTGGAAAGAAGGCATTCCATCTTAGTCCTCAGGGATGACAATATATCTGCGTATTGATTCTTAATCGAGGATAAGTGTAGATGTCTATGGGCCACAACATCCAGTTACCATCAGGTGGACTGTGTGCTCGTTTGTTACCCTTATTCTATAAAAAAATATTACGTAATTTATTTAATAAATATAATTAATACATTATTTTTATAAATTTAGTTAATATCTTTGGTGACCCAAAAGCTGAAATATATTTTGTTCAGCGGATCAGCCTCGCAATACAGGGGAGTAAATCAGCCAGTCTTCTGTTCACACTACCAACAGACGGCGGCGACTTAGCAAGTATTTTATTTTTTACTTATATTAATACTTTTAATACTGTATAATTTTGTAGAACACTATTTTCCTTTAATTTTTTATTATGTTAATAAGAAGTATTTATGTTTTAATTTCATTTGTTTATAAGTTGTGTTTTATTTATGTTTATAAATGTACATTGTACATATGTATAAAAATGAAAGTATCTTGATAAATCCATTATCCAAATACAACATTTTGGTATTTTTATTTATCATCAATAACTTTATCAATATTTAAATAATATATTTTAAATTAAACATAGAAAACAGTGAAGTGTAAACGCAAGGTGATAAAACTTTTTTCAAAAATTAATGATATCTCCGATGAAATAATTGCGCCACCATGCACCATAGGAGTTACTACATATCATAGGGTCTATAGCAATATGAAACTACTATGGAGCTATGCGCTCATTTAGAATTCAACTTTTTTATCAGCCTTATTTTTATCTTTTATAGCAACTTTATACATACATTACATTTATATTTTTGGTGAGATAGTTGTTTTACATAATATTCCTATAATTACATAATTTCCTTTTAAT